GGGTGGTTGGGGAGGGGCAAGAGACAGTGCTTGGTCCTGCCTCAGGCAGGCTCCCAGAGCTGTTGTGGGCTGTGGCATCTTGCATTCTGGGGCCTGAGTGAGACAGCCCTTCCAGCCCTCCTTCATAGGAACCCATCCTGTCCTGCATCCTGATCCTGAAGAATCTTGCTGGCCACAATCTACAGGACTGGCTCTATAACCTGCTGGACCCAGCACACAATGAAAACGCAGAGTTTCTCATTTAAAAAGTGATTTAGAATCTCAAGATGGCAACAGCAGAGCATTAAGCCAAGGTAGGGCCCTTCCAAGTGCCATGGAGCCAGCCCTGGCTGCCCAATATTTACTTCTCGAAGGGGGACTTTTGGGCCATCTCAGAAAACAACTCGAAATGAGAATTTTCAGGCCCTGTGACAGTCCTGCCTGAACTCTCGGGCTGAGGGTGGATCAGCCACCACCTGCTCCAGTTCCCTCCTGAAAGGTAGTTTCCTTGGCTTTTCCTCTCACTTGTGTTTCCTTTAGAATTTTCATGTCAGGGGGCCAGGGAAGGAGGGGGTGAGTGGATATGCGTAAGGGCATGTGTGTATGTTGGAGGCAGAGGAGCAATCTGAAGAGGGAATGGTGGCATACAATCAGGGTTTGGTTTTCCATTAACCTCTGCCCCAACCCTGTCCCTCGGGAGGGGGGACGCAGCGCTGGGTGCAGTTCCTGTTGTTCCAGTGACGCAAGGCTCTAGGTAGTTTTTTGCTGCTTTCCCAGTGCTGAAGCAGGCCCTCGTCATCTACCCAGCTGCACAGTAGGGAAGATAAACATATTGAGCCTGGGAGCTCGTGCCGAGAGCAGAGATGGAAGTTTAATGGGCTTGTTATCAGGTAGGTACCTGCCGGGCTACACGTCTGTCTCCCAAGAAGACAGGACATGAATAAATGACCTGGCCTGAGCTGCCTTCCTGGAGGGAAGAGAGATGCCTCAGAGCAGGAACGGGTGGATTTACAGAACAGGTGGGTCACAGGGCACAGGCGTCTGTTCAGTGGCACTGATGGGGGTGGGGTGGGGGTGGAACCTGCCCTCCTCTGCATTACTGTCAACCATCCAAGCTGCCAATTAGTCTAGAAATATTTGCTGCGGACTTCCTGGGTGGCGGTGCTGTGGGGAATACGGAGGGGTATCCATCCTACCTGCCTCCTATGAGTTCACAACCTAGTTGGAGATACCGCATTGGCCTCACTTCCTTGGTGACTGGGGATGTGGGCTGGGCAGGGCCTGGCACATGGAAGGTGCTGAAGAAAGATGATGGACTGAATTAGATGAAAAAAGTGGTGGCAAACTGCAGCCAGGACAATAAGCTCTTCATAGTTTAGACAATAAGAATTCAGAACGATGAAAGATAACTTCCACTTGCTCAAGGTGGGGATTTGAGCTGAATCTTTTCTTTGAACTTACACTTCCTCTACTGAGCTGCCTCTTGAAGGATTTAGGTTGTTGGGAGCTGGAGAGAGTGGTGTGTGTGTGTGTGTGTGTGTGTGTTTGTGCGCGAGTGTGCACGCGCGTGAGGCAATGCAGGGCAGAGAACAGAAGCATTGGAATTAGGGTGTCATGGCTTCCAAAGCTGGCTCAATTTTGAACATCTGTGTGGTTTTAGGTAAGTCACTTAACTTTTCTGAGCTTCATTTTTCCTTATAGTATAGGGAGAAATAGTGCCTGCCTCACAGAATTGCTATGAGGATTACCTAAAATATCCCCCCAAAACCACTTAGCAGGGTGCCTGGAATATAATAGGTACTCAAGAAATGGCAGGAGCTTTTTATGATTAACTACAAAGTCACAAAGCAGAAAAGCACATGTCTGAGTGGGAGGGAACAACTTTTGTTTCACTGGGGGGAAATGGGGTTTATTTAGGGGATATAAGGCTTTAACTTTTATGATGGGACTAGACTATATAGTGTCTTGAATGCCAGGTTCAGAAAATAAGTTTTTGGAGAAGATCACAAAAACTAAGTGGCCTTTGGGGTCTGAGAGTCACTCTTGTTGCTCTGACTAGTTCTGTCCAGTCATTCTGGCCTTGGAACTGACTCTGTACTCTACTTGTGCACAATATTCTTTCTTCCAGTTAGTTTCAGATGTAATACATTTTGCTTAAATTTGGAAATAACCATGAAATCTTTGGACTGTATGAGCAAAGAGGTTATTAGAAATTGAAAGGGGAAACCCTTGGAATCTTAGAATGATAAAATAGTCATAATTCAAGGATTTGCCTGCTTTCCACCTGTGGTAAGGCACAAGCAGTCATGAAAAGATGTGCTGTTCCCACCTCTGCCTCCGGGTGGGAAGTGACGGACAGCCAAGTGGAGCCCTTTCACATTCATTCTCCTGGCTCTTGCTACTCAGATGGGAAAGAACTTTAGGTAAGAACTTCATATTTAGCCTCCTTTCTGGAATGTTATCTAAGAATGTACATCAAAATGTAAAATATGCACTTCCTTTGGCCCACCATTTCCATTTTGGGGAATTTCTCTCAGGAATGTCCATTGTAGTATTGTTTAGAATAGCAAAAACATTAAAACAGCTTAAATATCCATTAACATGGGGTTGACTAGTGAAACTGAGGGTTTATCTATTCAACAGAATATTAAGCAGTTATTAAAAACTATGGTGTACATCTATATATATGGTCACCAAAAATTATTTATGATAGACTGTCAAAGAAAAAAAGCAAGTTTCAGAGCAGTATATTTGGTTGATGAAGTTCATGCAAATTACATTTATATTTATATAAGCATTAAAAGTCAGGAAGGCAACCTATTGTAGTGGCAATCTTTGGGAAAGGGGTTATGAGATGTTCAATGTTTACTATAACATTTTTGTATTACATGAATTTTAACTGTATCACATTTCTCATAAGGAAAGATATATTTCTAATTTGAAAAAAAAAATCCTTGTGCCTTTTTTGGGGGCTTGAAAGGGGANTGTATCACATTTCTCATAAGGAAAGATATATTTCTAATTTGAAAAAAAAATCCTTGTGCCTTTTTTGGGGGCTTGAAAGGGGAAAAAAACTCAGTAAATGCCTTGAAAAGTAACTGATTTGAGAGTAAACAATGTGAAAAAGAGATGTCTCAAGGGCTGGCATAATTAAGGTCAGTATCAACGGTAAGAAAATTATATATTCACTGGAAATTACTTTTGAAGATTGTTCCTCTCAACAGATAAGTTGTGATGAAAGCTAAACCTTAAAGTTCACACGAATGTTATGAGGATAGTACACGTTGCTCCTCCCTCTATCTGCACACCTCCCAGGACCCCTGATAAGTCAGAGTGGAACAGGACCTGGGCCTCAGTGGTGTTAGTGGCCCTGTCTGTCAGTGACACATCTCAAAAGGTCCGGACCCCACACTGAACTAAGGAGGATCATAGAAATGTTACTTCACATTTTTAGCAGACCTCATCTTGGCCATACGTCTACAGGTAAGTATTTAATTGTACATAGTACATGCCCCAATGAGCTGAGGAAATAGAACTGAAGGGGAAAAAAGGTTCTTGCTCTCAAGGAGCCTGTATCCAACCCCTTCTAGGGCATCGTCAATAGCTAGCAGTGTTAGAGCAGTAATTTACCTAGCAGGTTGTTGACCAACTCATACATTAAGAAATCCAGGTGAGTGGGGGAGGGGAGGGAATGGCCCAGTGGGCAAGAATATCTGTCCTGGAGATGATTAAGATTGGGAGGCATAAGCTCCTTGCTTGAGATGCAGTAGCTGTAATTTTGGGGGTGAGGTTGTGGTGCCCCTGAGAATTAGATTGTCAGGCATAAAGTGTGAGGCACCGTCATATGGTGACTAAAAGCAGACCTACTTGGGCTTGGATCCTGCCTTTGCTATTGACTAACTGAATGGCTCTGAGCAAATTACTTAATCTCTCTAAGCTCTAATTTCTTCACTTGTTGAGAAAAAAAGAAAAAGAAATAACAACAATGTGAGATCATATAAGCAAAGCTCTATGTATAAAGTTACTTCTTTTAACAACCTTTCCAGTTAGATGTTTTTATACCCATTTTACAGACTAAGCTTAAGCTCTCGTTTCTCTGTCAAGCTCCCTCCCAACTTCCTCATTACTCCCACCCGACTCCTCCAGCCCTCCTGATCTCTTCTCCAATCCTTCCCCTCTACCCTCTGGACAGTGGTCTTGTCTCATTCATCCTTTCACGTTTCATGTGAAAAACAAGACTGAACTCTCATGTCCTTGAAGGGGGCATAGTTGTGAGACTAGAGAGACAGTTGGGAGGAGTCAGAGAAGAAGAGTGAGAGGGAAGAGATGAGTCAGGAGTGGTAACATCTAAAAAGCAGAGGGACTGAAGGCTCAGGAGAAATGGGGCTAAAGGCAATGTTTCCCGAATGGGGCAGGAGCTGGGAGAACGAGTCTGAAGAACTTCCCGTGGCCTCGGCTTGGGAGAGAATGAGTGGGCTGGAAGGAGCGAAGGGAAGCCAGGCGCCTTGTGGGTGAGGGAACGTGCTCTGGGAAGGGGCATAGTAAATAGACCGACGGACAGTTAGAGGCGCTGAAGTAAGGGGACGTGGCCAGGGTCTAATGATATCTTGTCCGTATTACTGGGGGATCCCAAACTCTAGGGTTACATATGTGATATTTGCACATAGAATAAGGGGCTATGGATTTAATTGTTTTCTCTTTTTAAACTTGTAAGGATTTAATTTCCAAACCTGATCCTTCCCTTCCCTTCCCTTCCCTTCCCTTCCCTTCCCTCCCCCTCCTTCTTTAATTCTCTCACACATTCATGTTCCCTGATACCATGCACATGACGGCCTCTCTGGAAAATGAATCCACCAATGTGCTGCCTGTTCCAGGATCCGCACATCACTCCCATCAGGGCCAGGCTGTGCAGGGAGTCGGCAGACCCCTGCTCTGAAGCCGGCCTGCGGGTGCTGGGGTGCGAACTCCGCTGGAGCAGCTACGTGAAGGGGAAGGATCACAGCGTGGCAGAGGCCCCTCCACACCCAGCAGCCCAGGCAGGGGTGAGGGAAGGTAGCTTGAGCCCTTGGTTTGGCTGGAGGAGGGTGACCGTCTCCAGGAAGGTGAGGGGAGGGCATGTGTGTGCCCAGGCAGGTGTGGGTGTGGGGCTGATGCCGGCTTGGTGTGGAGCATGACCTCACCGCTCCCAGCTGTGGGACCCTGAGCCTCCGATTCCTCTTTAGATGGAGGCAGCAGTGACATACGGGGAGCAGCCGACCCGTTGTGGCTGCACCGAGCGGATACTCGATGAACACTCTCTCCTCTTTTGAGGGCTCTCTGAGGTCGGCGTCTGCATGTGTCAAAAGCCTCTTGCCTCCTGATACGCTTGGAAACCAGGGGATCGTTATTGAAACTGCGAAGCCGACGGGGTCGTCCCCTGCTGGCTCCTGCTTTCTGGCCAGGCCCACCTGGCTACCTTCTGCCTGGGCAGGTGAGGTGGCAGGCAGCAGATGGGGAAGTTATTTTTAGCATCCCGCATAGGATGACGTATGTGACTTTGAAGGCCACATACCTGTGTTGGTGCTTACCAGACATATGCACGCAGATCCAGCACGTAGGGAAGAAGAAATTTCAGTAGAACGGCGCCAGGAAAGGGGCCTCCTGCCGGACCAGGGAGAGTGCACACATGCTCATTCGGCAGTCTGCCGAAGCTGGGCATCAGGTGGAGGGCCCATGCTGTGGAATTTTATTCTTGAAGGTGTCACCTTTTCACACAGCTCTGTCGACTCGCACGCAGCACCATCCCTCCCTTATTCTTAGCCTGGTGAATTCCTACCAATCTCCTCACGCCTTTCCCTGACACCTTGGGCAGTGTCAGGCACCCCGTGGGCCTGCCGTAGCACCTCTGTTACAGCCCTTCACACACACTATTGTTAACACGCACTATTGTTAACATGCACTATTAACACGCACTATTATTTACACATGCTATTGTTAATACACACTATGACTAAATCATCTGCCTCCTAAACCAATCCAGAGACCTTGTGGAGGCCAGGACGCTGCCTCATTCTTGTTTGAAGCTCCTGGACATCACACAGTACGTGGCACAGGGCGGGTGTTTGTTGAATGAATGAATGTTATGAATTTTCAGTTTCGTGACATCTTTCCTTGTTCTTGGTTCTCACAAAATACTCTTTGATTTTGCATTACCTTTTTTTTCCTTTTTTATGAAAATGAATTCAAATTGCTTTTGTTTTAAGAATTTCACAGCCACTCACTGTAGCTATTGGAGATCTGGGAAATCCAAAGTAAAAAATGAGAATCCCTGTCTATTCTCTTCAAGTTAGAAGACACCTGTCTCAGGGTTTCCTGCTGTCAGCAGAGTGGAGGGACCCCAAGCAAAATAGCAAAGGAACACAGAAGCCAGTCAGCTGAGTGTTTGGGATGACCTGCTCCTGACCGAGCCTCCTGCCCCGGGTCACTGGTGGGTGGCTGGGCTGGACTCCCACAAAAGCGCTGTCTTCATAATGGGTTAAAGCAGCGCCGGAAAGGGGGAGGCTCAAGGCAGTCAGGGCCAACCTGGGGTCTTCCCTCCGAGCTCAGGTTTCCATCTGGGTTCCATTTGGAACCCCTTCACCCTGGGCTTGATCACACAGATGGATCCGAATATCCAAAAAGCTGGGGCTGGTATATGCCCTTCATCCCCCCAAACTCTGAGACTGGTACGTATCTCATCTTTCCCCAGGGACCTCATGGGGAAGATCTATCGATATATCCAAAGGGTCAGGGCAGAATGGAGGCCAGGGGGGTCTTTGCTATGCCTGGAGGACTCCACTCCATACAGGGGCACTTCTGCTCTGGTTGCTGAGCTAGAAGGTCATCCTGTGGACTCACAGATAAACTGACTTGGTCTCCGAGGCCTCTAAGGGATTCACTGGGGTTAGATTTTCAAAGATGCTCCAGGGTACCATAGGCATTTTAAGGGAAGGGTGTGCAGATTACAAAAAAAAAAGAAAGAAAGAATTAAGTCATAACTTAGACTCTGAAGGATTTTGAAGAGCCTGGTAATCACCATGGCACCAGCAGCTGAAGGGTGAGAACCCGCCTCAAGTCCTGGCCCTGGATTTTTCTCATTGCATCAACAAAATGAGATACCAGAAGCTCTGAGAATATGCTACTTCAGAGGTTGAAATTACAGACTCATAGCAGCCAAAACGGCTATTTGCGGTAATAACTATTCTAACGCAGGTTGGAAAAGCCTAGTAAATGTTGCCCTTGTTTGAAATCCTCCCCTGATCCCCACCCCATCACCTCCCCAGTGCTGAACAGGTTGGGAGGCAGAGTGACTATTTTCTGTTTGTTTGTGTTTCAGAGCCAAGCTGTCTGGAACTACTGTCTGGGAGAAGCCTCTTTCCCATCCCAGCCAGTGTACCCAGCAATCAGGAGCCATTGCCCGACCCAGGGCTGCCTGGATAAACATTTATAAGCTCCGGAGGGATCATTAGCGGAGGGCAGAGATGTCTCTATTTGAACCTCCGACAGTTACCCTAAGTCCAAATCTGAGCTCACTCATTGCCCCTTAACTCATAGGAATTCAAATGATGCATTGGGAAGGAGAGAACAATTTAAATCAGAGGTCCTCAACCTTGTCTGCACCTACTCACCAAGGAACTTTAATAATCCAGATGTCCAGGCTGCAGTCCAGAGGGTTAAATCAGAAACTGTGGGGGTAGGGCCCACACATCTGTATTTTTAAAGCTCCCCAGGTGACTCTGATATACAGTCTAGGTTGAGAACCTCTGACTTAAATGGCGTGTGGGGTTCCTGCCAGCCATTCTACCTGTGACTGAAGGCCCTGGAGATGGAAGATATGACTCTGTATTCTCATGGGGGCCTGGTTCCTTGTGTTTCTCCTATGATGAGTATATCTCCATTGCCAAATGTGGTTCTGGAGTTTAAAGATTAGATACAACAAAGCACTGGAACTTCATTTAATTCAACCAGAGCAACTGGACTTGATGGGTAATCTAAGGGATTTTTCAAATAGAATATTGACTAAATAAATTTTACTTATATCCCGGCTTTTAAACCTAAGCCCCACATGACTCCCCTGCACCCCCTGTCTGGGGGATAGAATGGTAGAGAGTTAACCATTCACCAGTGGCCCTGCCGGAAATCCAGGCATTGTCTTCACCTTCTTATATTCCCTCAGCCCCTAAATGGTCCCCAGGTCTCACAGATGCTACTTCTCAGTCTTTCTCGATGCCCTTTGGCCCTGCTTTGGGTCAGTCCTTCATCTCCCATTTATTACCATCACCTCCTAACCAGCTTCCTGTCTCTAGTTTCATTGCCCTCTGCTCCATCACCTACAGAGCGAACAATCCAGATAAAAACTACCCATGTAGTCCTCTGCTTAAATCCCATCAGTAGCTCCTTGTTGCTTTCAAATGTCTTGACGTTGCCTTCAGTGTCTGATCACCAGCACGTTCCCAGCCTCAGTTCCCATCACACCACCTTAAGGGCCCTATACTTCAATCACATTGAACTTTGCTTTTTCATGAGCCTTTGCTTAGGCTGTTCCTTCTGCTGATATTCCTTTCCCTCTCCTGCTAGACTCCTCCTTACTTGTCTCTTTACAGCAGCCCATGAAAAGATCCTCTCTCATCCCCAGGGTGCATCCAGCGCCTATTGGCCATGCCCCTCCTCCATGTGCCTCGCTCAGGTGAAGCACTTTCAAATTGTATTGTGAACACTATATCCTTGTGTTTCTCCCTACTAGACTGAGCTCCTTGGGAGCAAGAGCTGGGTCTTTCTTTTCTTTGCATCCTTGGTGCCTACATGGTCCCTGGACTAAAGGAGGCCTTTGTGTTCAATGCCTGAACTTGCTTCGGTATGTCCCTCCTTCCCCTCTGGCGGATTTGAGACCTGGCTCAGATTCACTTGGCCTCTGCAAAACTCTGAGGCAGGGAAAGTGTGGCTTGGGCCCCCTTCCATCTTTCTATTCTGCAGTTGTTTCTCTTTTCTTTGAGGTTTCTCATAACTGTTCCCAACTCCCTCATCTTAAATTCTTTCCCTCCCTATCAAAGTATGCTCTCAGAATAAGTATTGCTGTGAAACAGAAATAACTGCTGTTACTTTTCCCCTGCGTGTTAGTATTTTAACAGAAAAAAAGGCAAAGGAATTAATTTCTAACTGTGGAAATATCTGGCCATAGGAAAGCCAGAGGAAAACACTGAGGTGAGAATAGCCTTCTATGGAAACTTGATTGCAATGCATTCTCTTTTACCAGGGTACAGATTGGAAAAGGGCCAAGTTTACCCATCTTCTGAGGTGGAAAGAAGGAAGAAGGGAGGAGAGATTCTTCAGGTTTGGTTTCTCTCTTAGCTCACTCCACACACCTTTCTGTGGGGACTCTACATAGAGACAGTATGTTCTAGGGCTTGCAGAAGGCCTGGGTCATGACATTTATATCTGTCCATGGAAGTAACAGAGAAAAAGGCAACAAATGAGAAAGAATGGAATCAAAACCCGAGAACAGGAAGGTGCTGTCGGGCCCCAGCTGGAAGGTGTTGGGGGCAAAGCAGAAGTGAGACAATTGTCATCAGGGAGCAGAGTGAAAAGAAGGGAGCACAGAGCAGGTGGACTGCTCATGACCTAGACCGTCAACATGGGGCAGCCTGGGGTGTGCCTTTGAGGCAGGTGGGCCCTGGCAGGATTCAATTGGACGGCTGGGTGAGACCATGCTCTGGGCAGGCTCCAGACTCACGATGCGTGGATGAGCCACAGCAGACTTCTGCTTCCACAGTCTCTGGCTGCGATGTGATCGGTGTCCTCAGAGTCTGTGACTCTGTGACATGGAGGCCATCACCAGTGAGTAGCTGGGTGCCCCAGTGGACTGAGTCCTTCCTGTGATATCAGCCACTGGTGGGTAGTCTTCTGGCAGGCAGGGTTCAGGATTTCCCTGGTGCAGAAGGGCAGAAATATATAGAATTCACCTTCAGACTTGCAGCCAGTACCCAAGGGTTTGTGGGCAAAGTCACCAAGGTGCTTATTCCTGCCACATGGCCCATCCTGCAGAAGTACATGGGCCCACTGGGCAGTGTCCAGCTTCGGCCACTCATTGAGGGACATTCATACGTACTCGATACCTGCTCGCAGCTTCAGTTTCCTCTGCCAGGGTCAGGAGACTTAGTGTGGCAAACAGGCAGAGCAGACAGCGGCCACTCAGCTTCAAGGGACTCCACAGAGACCCCTCACCCTCCTTCCCCCATATTCTCTTACACTTTGCTTACACCCCTAATTTCTTATTAGTATGTCACTCCTTGGTCTCAGGACGCCGTCTCTTATGAGGATGCAAATAGCCTAATATCCTCTTCAGTCACGTAGCCCCCATGTGCACCTGCTGGATCCTAACTGGGGTGTTTTCCTTAAAGCGGAGGCAGAGGGGGGATG